TGGAAATGGGGTCTTTGCAGATGTAATGAAGTCAAGATGGAGTTATACCGGATTCAAGTGGGCCCTAAATCCAATAACTGGTATCCTTATAAAGAGAGAGAGTTGGAAACACCGACACACACAACAGAGAAGAAGGGCATGTAAAGATGGAGGGAAAAATTGGTGTTATGCTGTCACAAGCCAGGAAACACCAAGGACTACTGGAAACCAGCAGAAGCTAGGAAGAGGCAAGGAAGGACTCTTCCCAGAGCCTTCAGAAGGAGCCTAGACTTCAAGACTCCAGAGCTTCGAGAGAGTACAGTTTGTGATAATATAGTAGCCCTAGGAAATTAATACGACCTAGAACAAGTAGAGATTGAATTAGCCATTTTAAAACTTTCAAAAAAGAAAAGCCTATGGCTAGATGTCTTCACTGGTGATTTCTACCAGATATTTTTAAAAGAATTAATACCATTTCTTCACGAACTTGTTTAAGATAAAGAAGGAAGATTTCCCCATTCTGTGAAACCAGTATTATTTGAAAATCAAAACCAGGCAAAGACACAGAAAAACAGAACTACAGACCAATATCACTAGTCCGTAAAACTACACACCAGTATCACCACCAAAAATCCTTAACACAATATTAGCATACCAAATCCAGCAACATATGAAAGCTATTATACATCATTATTAAGTGAGATTTATCTCAGGAATGCAAGGTTGGTTCAACACCCCAAAATCAATTAATGTAATGCAATGTATTAATAGAATAAGTGGCAGGAATCACATGATCATCTCAATAGATGCCTCCCCAAAAAGCACTTGGCCAAATCCAGCACCTTTTCATCATGAAAATGCCCAACAAACTAGAATAGCAGGGAACTTCCTCTACTTGACCTACGAAACTACACAGCTAACATGGTACTTAATAATAAAAGACTGACAGTTTCCCCCTAAAATCAGGAACAGGACAAGGACGTCTACTCTCATCATTTCTCTATTTGGCGTTTTACAAGAGGTTCTATCTTTGGAAGTTAAGCAATAAAAAGAAACCAAAGTTATCCAGATTGTAAAAGAAATAGTAAAAGTATCTGTATTTGCAGATGACATGATACTGTGTATAGAAAATCCTAAGAAGTCTACAAAACACTATTAGGTTAATAAGCAAGTTCAGTAGAGTAGCAGAATACAGCATTTTAAAAAAACAGTTGTATTTCTATACATTAGCAATGAACAATTTAAACAAGAAATTAAGAAAATTCCATTTACAATAGCTTTAAAAAATAAAATATTAGGAATAAATGTAACAAAAAGTGGAAGACCCATATACTGTAAATGACAAAACACTGTTGAAAGAAATTAAAGAAGATCTAAATTAATGGAAAGACATCCCGTGTTCATGGATTGGAAGTCTCAATGTTATGAAAACGGCATTTTCTCCCAGATGATCTGTGCATTCCCTGTCAAGACCCTAGCCAGTTTCTTTGCAGAAATTGACAAGTTGATCCTAAAATTCATATGAAAATTCAGGAGACCCTGAATAGCCAAAACAATCTTATAAAAGAATACATTGGCAGGCCTCACACTTCCCAATTTCAAAACTTACTACAAAACTATAATGATCAACATAGTGTGTTACTGGCATAAGGACAGATGTATTGAGATCAATGGTATAGAACTGAGATCCAGAAGTAAAATTTATGGTCAGTGATTTTTCACAAAGGAAGTTGGACCCCGTCTTATACCATACAGAAAAATTTAGTTGAAATGGGTTATAGATCCAAAAGTAAGTCCTAAAACGATAAAATTTTTAGAAAACATTGGAGTAAATCTTCACGACCATGGGTTAACCACTAGTTTTTTAGATACAATACCAAAAGCACAAATAACAAAGAAAAAATAGACAAATTGGAATTCATTAAAATTGAAACCTTTTTTGTACTTCTAAACAGTAGCATCAATGAAGTGTTAAGAAAGCTTATGGACGGGAGAAAATATTTGCAAATTATATGTCTGATAATGGACTTGTATCCAGAATATATCAAGAATTCTTACAGCTCAACAATAAAAAGATAAATAGCCCAGTTAAAAACTGGGCAAGGGCTTCCCTGGTGGCGCAGTGGTTGAGAGTCCGCCTGCCGATGCAGGGGACATGGATTTGTGCCCCGGTCCGGGAAGATCCCACGTGCCGCAGAGCGGCTAAGCCCGTGAGCCATGGCCGACTGAGCCTGCGCGTCTGGAGCCTGTGCTCAGCAACGGGAGAGGCCACAACGGTGAGAGGCCTGCGTACCGCAAAAAAAAAAACAAAAAAAAAACTGGGTAAACTGTATGAGTATACATTTCTCTGAAGGAGATATTTGGCCAATAGCACACAAAAAGGTGCTTAACATCAGTAGTCATTAGGGAAATGCAAATCTAAATCATGAGATACCACTTCTCGTATATTAGGATGGTGTAATCAAAAAAATAACAAATGTTCATGAGTATGTAGAGAAATTGGAATCCTCATTGCTGTTGGGAATATAAAGTGGTGCAGCTACTTTGGAACATAGTTTGACACTTCCTCAAAACGGTAACATAGTTACCATGATCCAGAAATTCCACTCCTAAGTATATATCCAAGAGAAATGAAAATATATATCCACAGAAAAACTTGTACACAGATATTAAAAGCAGTGTTATTCATATCACAGTAGACAAAAAGTAGGAACAACCCAAAAAAGTTCGTCAGCTGATGAATGGATAAAATGTTGTATATCCTTAGAACAGAATGTTATTTGGCAGTAAAAAGGAAGTAAATACTGACATATGTTACAACTTGGATGAACCTTGCAAATATTATTCTAGGAAAAAGAACTGAGTCACCAAAAAACCAAGTATTGTATAATTCCATTTATGTGAAATTTCCGGAATTAGTTAAGTCTTATAGAGACAGAAAATAATACAGTGGTTGACCAAGGTTGGGAGAATGAGGAGTGACTGTTACTGGGTGCAGGGTTCCCTTTTGGGATACAAAACTGTTCTAAAGTTAGATTATGGTGATGGTTCCACACTTATGTGAATATACTAAAAAAGCATTGACTTTACTTTAAATGGGTGAATTCTATGGTGTGTGTATTATATCTCAGTAAAACTGTTTAAAAACAAAATGAATAGATGTGACTGTAATTATTAGGAACCAACTAAAAGTAAGCTGTATATTTCAGAGTACAAGTTGATAAATTGGTGTTTGGTTCAATAAAGAATATGTAGCAACTGCCTTATTGAATGCTAGGTTAGTTGCCCTGTGTTGATTTAGGTTAGAAAGTAGCCTGAATGCTACATTAAACATAGTTTAAGTATAGATATTCTGTTCAGAGTCTGACCACACTGACTGAATGTAGGGCTAAGGACTTAAGTATAGTTGTGCCATGTAATGTCTGATTTTTGAAAATCAGTAAACAATGAAGTGGCATTAAAGTATAATGTAAATGAGGATTTTATCGAACTCTCTGCAATACCTGTTCCTGATACATTTTAAATGTTAAATCTGTATCAAACTTAGATTATTTTTTGTGATTCATTTTTAAAAGTTACTTTCTTAATAATTTCTTTAATCCATAGAAGAGAATGTTGGCAAATACAACTATAATAGAGGTTTGTGTAATGATTCATAACATTTAAAATATTTTGTTTAAAAAATTTTAAACTAATTATGTGGCAAACTTAATATGTCTTACATGGAAATGTTAAGGGATCACTGTTTTAATTTGAGTGTGCGAGAGTTCTTCATAGTGAACTATTTACAATATATAATTGATGCTGAATGTGTCTTTGCAAAATGCATATTTTGGTTGCACTGTTGACACAGTCCGGTGATGGGGAAATCATAGAAAACCAATTGCAGTTATCATTGGGTGTATTTAAAATTTTTGAGGAAATCATTTGTGGATTGTAACATGCCTTCGGTATCTTGTTTACTTCCTTTTCATTGTGCCAAGGTATGTCCCATTTTCTTATTTAGAGCACTTTTAAGTTTTTCATGGTATAAGTAAATGCATGTGTTGATATATTGCAATGAAGAAAATTATATGCACTTGAAGTCTTAAAAGATGTACTTTTTCTTCATACTCTTATATTCTACCATCATAGTTTCCTGTTTGTTTATTAGCTACAAGGGTGGAAGTAAGTGTAAAGCTTTGTCAGCCTAGTCCAGTGCTCCTGCAGTCTGAGAGCATATTCTGGGAGTCGTCTAGTGCAGCATTTTGAAACTTTGTGATTAGGACACACATTTTTATATTGCAAACATATATATATATATATATATTTATTTATTATACAAATATATATATATATATAAAATTTTTATATTACAAACATATATATATAAAATTTTTACCCTTAAGATACTGAACTATTTAACTCTTATAATGCAGTGCATTGTTTTTCAGTTTTTTTCTTCTAGTGCTACTTTTGACCTATTAATTTCACAACCCACTAAAGATTCGAAAGTTATCATTTATAAAATAGTACTCTAGGGACAGAATTAGGAATTCAGGTGCATTATTTTTGAGTTTTCCCTCCTAATGGCCCTTTTAAAATGTTTGTTTTGTGTCTAGAGAAAATATACTAGGAGGGCAAACATGATTCTCAAATGAGATTTGGTGTTTAAGATATCTTTTTATCTGAGTTGGGTTGTCTATAAACTGTTGCTGTAGTGTAATAAGAACCGATGTATTTGAATGCTCAAAGAAATTTTCCCTTTAGTAATTATAGTTCAATTAGAGTTAACCTATAAATTTAAACAAAACTCATAATCAAAAAACATGGATAAAAGCACCCAAGGCATATTTTTCTATTCATTTTGCTTTTGTACTTTTGTGGAGATAAATATTATCCTGAAGTTTTAAAATATTTTAATTGTATTAAAATGATTTGTCTTATCTGTTACTAACATTTGTCTTTGATTTTGGATCTGTGCTTTTGATATTGAATGGGGAAAGATTTTTGTGCAAATATTTCACCAAATATTTTTGCAGGGACACTTAGTCGGTCTGGATGAACCAGCTTCGGGAGCTGGGCAAGAAGCTCTGCTTAAACGAGAGCAAGCAAAAATCATTCGATTCGAGAGACAAGCAGAAGAGTTCCTCAATGCAGTCTTTTGTAGAAAAGGTTGGTTCCAGTGAAGAATGACATTTAGCATCTGCTTGTCTTATCTTAGTCTCCTTAATTTCAATGTCATTTTAAAAAAGAATTACCTTTAAAAACATTTTTCTTTATTGATAGTATATTTTATAATTCTGTATATTCCTTTGGTCAAGTTAAATTTGGAATAAGGTGAGGCAACCCCTCTCCCTCCTTTTTGCTCTGCAGTGATGGTGCCATGTAAGATTTAGTTAAATAATTCTTAAAATTGTTATGAAACTGTGAAAATTGTACGGTCTCAGTAGTTCTTTATTTTGTTAGACAAATTTTCTTACATAAATAGTCACTGTTGGGAGTTCCCTGGTGGCCTAGTGGTTAGGAATCCAGGCTTCCACTGCTGTGGCCCAGGTTCATTCCCTGATCAGGGAACTGAGATCCTGCAAGCCACACAGAGCAGCCAAAAAAAAAAAAAAAGTCACTGTTTTAGCCACTGATAATCATAAAGCAAACTGTAAAATTTTAGTAATTCCTCACTGAAATTTCATTTGGAGAAAAAAAATACAAAACTTAATCTGAAAATTAGATTTGCAAACTTTTTTCTCCTTGAATACAGCCTTGTTTTACTAAAAAAATTTAAATTATTAAAATTAGAGAAATTCTTTCTAAATGAATTTGTATTCCTTAGTTATGCCATCCCTCTAGTTCCAAGATGGAGGTTACTATGATAGGCTCTAAAGAAGTTTTTTACAAACTTCTGATAATGCTGAATATCCTTATTTCATCTTCAGCAGACTCAGTGATTCCACTTTCTTTAATATTTCTTCACATGTTCTAGTTTACACCTCTCATTCCTTTGGAAATTCCCTTCTTCTTTCTGAAGTTTGAAGGGTAATTTTTGCCTGTACACTAGTTAAAAGTCTGATAGTGCAGATTCTAATCGGTTGGTTACACTTGGAGACCAGCTGAGCTTTTGGTTAATGTGGTCAATATTTTCAAAAGGGAGTATGAGGTGAAGTGACATGAAATTAAGGAATACATAAGATTTTTGTTTCCAGAGGCACTTTTTTTTCTTCTTCCATCAGATCCCCAGGTAAAATTAAATCTTTTAGTACTTCTCACTTCTCTTTTAATATCCTCTAGTACGCTCTCACCTAAAGCTCCCAGCCAAGGCTTCCATGCTCACAATACCATTTCCATAAAGTACCCTGATTCCAAAATTATGTTCAAAATGTTAGTTTTATGAACTTTTGATTATTTTATTAAAGTAACTCACATTTAACATATAAATGACTGATAGATCAGTTCTTTCAGTTTATTAACTAAATAAAATATTTTTCCAGCTTCTCTGCTACTCCTCTCCTTTAGGATGTTTACTGAGTCATGGGTCTAATGCTGCAGGAAAATGCATTATCTGAAAAGAGGAACTCCTCTTCCTAATTTACATGGAGGAAGCACTTGTCATCCACTCTTTGCTTAGAGGGAGTTAATGAGGTTAATCACAAGCAGATAGATGAAGAGAATTCTAACCTGCTTCTCTACTAGTCCCATCCCTTTGTCATGTAGGTATATCTTAGGTTAAAATTCTTGTAAATTTTCTTATTTAGAAATTTAATTTGGGGCACATACCCTTTTGGAGAGGAATTCTTACCTTGGAATCAGTCTTGAGAGATGAGAATCCTCTGAAATTGTATGTAAAGTTAAGTTTGTATATTTGTCTGTCTACTGGCATATGATGCTCAGAAAAAGAAATTGCTTTGCAGTTGGAAGTTTCCCCTTTATGTATTAATATTGTTATTTTTAGATATTTTATTAATCCTCTTGGAAATGTCTCAAAGATGGGCATTAGTAGTCTTCGAATTAATACCAAAAATGTTAAGTATCCAGAGATATAACAGGCAGTTTAATCTGAGGAGAATATTTTGTTTTTAATAAATAATTCAGGTATTTGGATTTAGTCCTTTGTTTCCAAGTATTGCAAATTGTATGTTTTAAATAATGGAGTATGAACAGGTAATATATAGCTAGGTAGAAACATTAGATGCAAATAAAAGTAGGCTTTTGTGGTATGGACTCTATAATAAATTCCAGTTTAAGAACAATAAACCTTCTACAGCTGTCATAATCATTTCTTTTCAGCTTGCTTTGTCAGTTGTCTCAGAAAATTTGACACTTTCCTAAAAGTTAGGTTTACATTTTAAAAACATAACAGGTGGCTATGATGTAGCATTCACATGTTTTTCTGTAGTTTTAACTTTGACCTGATTTGTTGTTTTTATTTGACTCAATTGTGCATGTTCCCCTAAGCATGGCTAGGTTTATAGACATTGTGTTTTAAGTAAATGAAAGAATGAAATGTGTTCAAGAAACTTTCAAAAGACGTAGAAATTCAGATGGCAGAGATGTCATCAATTCGTAAACATGAATTGTTTCTTGATTATATTAGTTATTCAATAAAGAGGCAAAATATGCTGCAGACATTTAAAGCTCAAAGGTAGCAATTTATGGTCTTTATCCTAAAATCTTTGACTCTTTACAAGTCTCTGTAATATTTATTAATCTAGTTAAACACAGACATCTCATAAATTACTTCATTTTGCTTCCTATTTGGAAGCTTTCTTTATTATATATTATCCAACTTTTCAGAGGATACAAAGATACAATAACATTAAAACATTAAATTATATACAGTCATTCAGAGGATTGTATGCTGTGCAAGAAAAAAATGGATCTTAAATAGAAAGAAATATTGATAAGAAAACCCAGTGGGTAGAGAGATTGCAAAAAGCACTGTATGGCTAAAAGTGTTTATTAAAACATTTAAGGAACCATTGTCAGTGAATTGTAGTAACTTCTGAACCTTACCTAGTTGAATACCTTTATCCTTAAACCATCTAGCATGCTCATAGTCTCTATTTATAGAGAGGAAACTTAAGGTTAAAAATCCTTCTTAATAGAACAGAAATATTATTGGTAGAGCAAACCTCGTTAAACTCCAGAGAATTAAATAAATATTCTGACTTTATGACTATCTTCTGATCCTGAATCTTGTCCTTCAGAAAAAAAATTGTTCTTGGGAGTCCTGTGTGATTTTAATGTGTTTGTTTTTTGTGGTGATTTTAGATATTAATAGCTATTAGTCGGTTTTGCTGACTAAATCAAAGTTCCTTACAGCTCCAAAATATTATAGGTAAAGTAATTGACCTTCTATGGTTAATCTTTAAAAGAGCAAGGAAACTCAGGTTTTCTGAGACCCATCTTCTAAAGCCTAGGAAGTGTGGGAAGGAAGTATAAAGGTCACGGGTGGAACATTTTAATCAAGGGTCTGCCACTAGCCATCTGTACAAATTTGAAGAGGCCACTTACTCTTTAGATCACATTTGTCTCATTTATTGTTTTTTTTAAAGAACTATTTGTTGATTGATTTGATTGATCCATTTATTACTCAACTAATATGAATGTATACTTTACACCAAGATTAGGTGCTGAGTATACAGGGGTAAACAAACATAATCTCTGCTTTTCTCAAAAAGCGTTTAGTCTCCCTGATAGTGTGTTAATGAGAGAGATGTGATGGTAATATATTTACACAAAACATTTTCCATCTTATTTTACTTTCAAGGACCCTTCCAGTGCTGAAAGTTTTATGAGTTAATGAATTCATATGGTCTTTATTTTTAAATTAACATTGATTAGAAATTGATAATTTAGATGTTTATTGCTTCCCTATCTATTGTGTTCAATGGTTGGTAGAGTGTAAAGAACTTATGAAAAGTACATGGTCTTAGGCTTTTGAGATTTGGCATTTAAACTCAGCGCAGAGGATCTAAAAGTGTGGTCCCCTGACCAGCAGTATCTAGAAACTTGTTAGAAATGCCAGTTCCTGAGCTCACTCTAGAACTGCTAAATCAGTAACTCTGGAGATAGGACCCAGCAATCTGTTTTTACAGGCCCTCAAAGTGATTTTGATGAATATTAAAGTGTGACAACTATTGCCCTAGCCGATCATGAATCTTAATATTATCTCCTTTATAATCTTGATATGCCTTCAGTCTTTTAGCAGAAAGTAAATTAAGCCTCATGAACTGAGCATTCCATTCTTCAATTATATAGGAAGCTATGGTTGAGGAAAGATCTAGGGGAAACCAGATGTAATCTATAGGTGGTAAACAGGGGAGTAATTATTTCATTTAAAAAGGGTTTTGGGATTTCTTTATCAGGTAAGTGATTCTTGCCCATAAGATATACTATTGGTTATCCCTTTATTTGACTTCATAATCGGGGGTGGGGGTGGTGTTTAGAAATAATTTTATTAAAATTTTATTTTTAAAAATCTGCAGCTTTTATAAGGCTGGAGATTAAAAATATAACTCTTAAGAGGGAATACTATTTTTAGGATATTGCATTTTAAGAAAAAAAATAAAATGAAATTTTGTTTGCTTGAAAGCTGTCTCTTTTTAGTACATTGTCCCACTTTAAAAGTAAATAAATCTTTGTTTACAGACAGTCCCTGGGTCTCCGACCCCAATATTCCCCTAGTGGCCCGTGAGATCATGCAGCGAATGATCCAACAATTTGCTGCTGAATATACCTCAAAAAATAGCTCTACTCAGGACCCCAGCCAGCCCAATAGCACAAAGAACCAAAGCCTGCTGAAAGCATCTCCAGTCACCACCTCTCCCACGGCTGCAACTACTCAGAACCCTGTGCTCAGCAAACTTCTCATGGCTGACCAAGACTCACCTCTGGACCTTACTGTCAGAAAGTCTCAGTCAGAACCTAGCGAACAAGGTATGGTTTGATGTCAAGATCTCCTCTGTCCAATTAGAATACTTTTAATTTGGGGAGAAAAAGAAGTATTGCCAAGTAGGGCACCAGAAGCAATAATAGGATAAACTAATGTGACTTTTAAATTATTCCTGACTCTGCAATGATAGAGAAGAAGTATAAATTGGCTACTTTACCCATCAGTATAGTTTGTAGTCATGATTGATGTACCACCCAGAAAGTTTAGGTGGTTACAGCTGTTACTTGATATTTGTAGAAGTAGTTCACACTTTCCCAAGCATTGTCATATCCATTGTTTTTAAAACCCCTTTGAAAAATTAACTTTCCCCCCTTTCCATCAATGTTTAGGATTAGCACCTATCTGAGAAATAAATGTATCTTGTCAGATAGAAGTTATATTCTGCAGATGAGATCATGAGGCAAAAATATGTGTTATTTGCATTTAAAAAAAAGAAACTCATGAGGTTAGAAATATTGAGAAGACAGTAGACACGCTCCAGGTTGTTATCTGTATTCAGTATTTTATAAATACACACACATACATACATATACTGTATTATAAACTAATTAGAGTATTTTCAAAAGGTAATCTGTTGGTGAGGATCCTAATTAAGTGAAGAGTTTAAGAGGGTGTCAATTTTGCATAGCAGATATTTCTTGAGTCTTTGAAGTTACTCTCTTAAGTAAATTAAATATCCGTGTTGATTTGTGATCTCATTTTACCTTTAATTTCACAAAGATGAAGTGAGCATTTCAACTCTGCCACTGTTTGAACCACTACAAATTGTAAATTGGTGATATCTGTAGTACTGAGATTTTATTGCCATAGAAATCTCATAAAAGTGTGGATTTATTGGTGAGAAATACATGTTTATTTTGCAAAGTAAATAAGTTTAATTCTTCTAAGAACCTCTTTGAAAGAACTTTATTTTGCTTATTTTAAGTTGTTTATGAAGGAATGACACTTAATGGACTGGCTTTAGTTGCTTATCAAAGGATATTTTTCTAAATAGCTTTCCTTTGCCTTCTTTCTCTTTGTGTGTAGTGAGCAGCAATCAAGATCTCTTAAGTTCTGAGAGATTTCCTAGCAGGAGACCTCCTAGACCTCCTAGTTGTTACCTTTGGTTACCGTGTTTGTAAAGTTGTTCTTTTCTATTTTATTGAGGATTGTTTTCTTTACCACAGATTGGTAACTTTCATTAAAAATCTGTTTGCTCTAAACATTGCATTACAAGCTTCAGGTTTACAATAGAATGACAGCATAGAGGTTGTATCTAAAGTATTAATAATGGAGATTAACAGTACAAAAATACAAAGTGATCTAACTTCTTAAGGTTAGTGTTATGCTTGAGAGGTATGTTGTGTTGACGGCATGCTCTTACCAAGAGAAATTTGAACTAGATGATAGGATTATAATATATAAAGCTTAAATGAAACAAAATTTTTTAAAGTATATCTCCTAATGAATTTTAATGTGTTTTCAACTTAAATCACAATATTTTCAGTGGTAGATTTAAAATATGTTGCCTATAATATGATTAGACAGACTGAAAATAGTACTGTCTTTGGTTGGGAATATTTTAAGCAGTGCATTTGCTTGTTAGGTATCTAATTGGGTTAGATGGATAATGGGATACTTGGTTCTATAAGATTACGTTTTTAGAAATATTAGTGACTCTAAAGGACAACACTTACTGTGTATGAGTTGTGGGCTTTTTTTGGTTTATAAACTCAGTTGCATATTTATTTCTAACTGCCTGAAATAGGGAGTTACAGTGTCCTCAGATACAAGTCCCAAGTGGGTTCTGTATTGGGGTGATTTTTAACATACCTAGATAGCAGGCATCTCTGCTGGCCAGCTGAAAATCAGAGACATTGAGTATTATCTTTCTTCTCTGTTAATTTTGGACAGAATGGCAGCTTTAAAAGTTATTCAGACTATGAGTTTTCTTTTCTAGACATGTCTATGAGGGGGGAAAAAGTCTTTGGGGGAGAATAAAGTCTTCTAATTTTATGTTCTAATACCATGAATTTGTGATTTGGTCTAGCATCAGTAAAAGAAAAAAATGGTTATCCCCCGAGGCTCCCATCAGTATCAAGACTGTTTCATTCTTCTTTCTTTCCTTAAACTTTGCTCATCAATTTATAATAGCTTATTCATCGAAAAACCTTGCCTTTATTAAATATCAGCAAGTAAATTTTGAATCTCTGCTGATTTTTCCCAAAAGATTGACTCCAGATACACAAGTTTTGCAGATGTGTCCGAAGAGTGATTAGGATACATGCAAATTATAAACAGTTAACAACTGGTTCATCTTACATATTATTTTGTACAGTTATATATGTTTACTATAACCATATAAACCTGTTTTTAAAATGACTTTTGTATTTAAATTTTTCCAAATCTAACTTTTATATACTCCTGGCGTTTCAGGTAGACTTAGCTCTTGAGAAATTTGGTTTTATAATTCATATGACATTGTGGCATTAAACTCATATACTTTGATCAAGGTAGATTTAGAAAATGACATCTCATAGTTCCATTGCAGAACCTCATACTGTGTAAACTGCTATTTCTAGTATCTCACTATATCTTAACATCTTTAGTGTTAATGCTTTACCTTTTCTATTGCCCTATTAATGAAATATTTAACCCTTGGATATATGAGATACAACAAACTTTGCTAAATTTATGTCACTTCGGGAGGAAAAATATCCTGATTCTATTAATTGGTTTTGTAACTCAAAATATATGGCTAGTTTTATCTGTTTAGTTGACTAAGCCTACTGCTTTGATATTTTTAGCCTATTCAGTTCATATTTGCTCCCAGTTTTTAATATCCTCAGGTGTTTCTTTGTATCTCTACAGACGGTGTACTTGATCTATCCACTAAGAAAAGTCCATGTGCAGGCAGCACTTCCCTGAGCCATTCTCCAGGTTGCTCCAGTACTCAAGGGAACGGGTAAGGGAAAATATTTGTGGCCTTCCACAGTTTTATAGGGGACAGTTTATCAAAGATTGATGCCAATTTCCCCTGTATGTTTTAAATCTTGATCCTTTAGAATAACACTGTTATAGGTGAGCCTTTAGTAAAATTACTTTTAGTCTATCAATCAAGTAAAAGCACAATCTGAAATCTAGAATTGGCAAATATAGATCAGTTTTGCCAGTTTAGTACAAATAGTAAATAATCAGGAATATGGCAAGAATGTCTTTGGACTTTTTGTTGTTGAGTGTTTGGGAGTGTGAAACCCAACCTAAATAATTCCAGAGTTCACATGTGAAGGCAGTATTCTGTGTGCTGAGGTTGGTGAATGAAAATTGGGCTCCAGTATTTAACTTGGTATCTCTAATGATTGGAGTATGGGGGCTGTTCGTTTTTTTCTGGTTTGGTTTGGTTTGGTTTGGTTTGGTTTGGTTTGTTGATTTGAACTGCAGTTTTAATTCTGTGTGGCAGTTCAGAAAATAATTGTGTGTATTTTTTGTTTTTAATTAGATAAGACCGGTTGTAGATGTTGATAGATAACCATCTTAGGCTGCCAAGACATTATTACATGCTCAGTTTTGATAGCGATTAGCAGACTAAAGTGAATTTTCTGACCACCTAGTTTTATGATGTAAGAATTGTCTAATTTTCCCTCTGTGTGTACATAGTAGCTATTTTAAATGGTCAGGTATTAATGAAGATGCTTAGATGCCATATTGGGAAGGCATTTCCATAAAACTGTGTTGTGACCAAAAATAAGCTTCATCTAAATATGAAACATAACTTTGGTAAGTTAGTTAATATTTAGGTTTATTTAACTTTCAGAATATCAACATGGGGAAGATGTTTAGATACCAAAGGAGTAAGCAGACTTGCTAAATGGACTATAACCTTTTTCAACTTATTCTTAATTACCTTCAAATTGAAGGATTCCTTTACTGACTTCTGAAATGCTCCCTTTATTTTCTCTAAAATTTCATCATCTTCCTTTTTCTCTCCTTTATTCAGTCTAAAAATAACATTAATTTAATCCATTTTGCATAGTTTACTAACCATTTTTTCTTAAGCCCTTTTTTTCACTGTACTTCATACTAAATATAGATCTAAGTCATCATGGTCCCAAATCATTTGGTTCCATTTATATGTCAAAAAACTTGAGTTATGTAATTAAGGACACATGTAAGAGAAGCCTAAGTGCTGTTTGCATAAATGCATCCCTTGCTTAAGATTCACTTTAAACTTGGCCACCAGGTCTATGTATTATATTGTTGAAATTGCTGTGTTTGTCCCTCTGAATGGAAAGTAAATGTTTTGATTGTGGTAGTGTTTTCTGGAAGACAAAAGCACCGGCAGTACTGCCCATCTTTTAGCTGAATTGTTATATGTTATTTACTGGTAACGTCAGAGTCCCTGTAGACTTTTGGAGAATAGCTGTTTTACCATTATTTCTGCAAAGTTCCACTTTTGTGCCTAGTTAATGTAATTTTTCCCCTTAGGCATGCTTTACCAGTTGCCAGTTTTATCATTGATAATCTTTCTCTATTGTAAAAATGAAAGCCTTATGAATTAACTTTGTTAAGTAGTTGATTTTTTTAAACATTATTTGAAAGCTGTCCACTTAAAATTTTAAAATTAATGTTTGGTATTTTAAGAAGAAGGGTTTTTTTTAACTAAAGAAAAATGCTAAAAAATTGTTTATATACCTCTGACAATAATTGCTTTGAGTAGACTTTAAGGAACAAAGTTTTGGGGGAAATAAAGGGTAGTTTCTTTAAAGCTTGGATTATTTCAAATGGAAAATCAGTGGTACTCATGTATCTGCAACTAATGGTGTTTTAAAATGAAGAAGTGTGGTAAGTTATAATTCGATGGGTATTTTGTTTTGTTTTGATTTGGGGTTTCCCCCCATGGGGCTGGTAGCCATGGTTTTTTTTCCCAAGCAAAATAAGAAATGTCATTTGGAATTGTTTGATTTTTTGATAAGAACATCAACTTGTCTGTGGGATAAATGAGCAATTATCTGTGGGTTCCACCAATGTAAATTGTTCCAGTTTTATAGCTGGTTGTCATGAATGTTGAATTATGTTGCATTAAAATAAATTATTTGGCTTACTCTTTTATTACTGTACTTGTTTAGTGGTAACGTCACGTTGGTAACACAATTCTTTGTAGATCTACGGAGACTTGATGATTACTTTGTAATTAATAATTAAGGTGCTATTTTCAGACAGTTGCGCGAAACTTTTTCTCCGAATATTTGTGAACCCAACCAGAGACCAGCTGACAGGTTTAATTTTTCTTTGCCCAAAAGCTCTTGGTTTTTTTTCTTTTTGTTTTTTTGTTTTTTGTTTTTGTTTTTGTTTTTGTGAACAAGTTTAAAACTAACTGCCGAGACCATTTTTTTTAAATTTTAGAGAAAATAAATAAATAACACAAAGTGATGTTACCCAAGCAAGGCCTTCTAATAAAGGAGTGGTCCCCTCACCCATCCCTCCCTACCTGTGCAAGTCCTGCTCACATCAGTTTCCTTCCATCCAATTAGGCGACCTGGGAGACCCAGCCAGTACCGCCCAGACGGACTTCGGAGTGGTGATGGGGTACCTCCAAGAAGCTTACAGGATGGAACCAGGGAAGGTTTTGGACACTCCACATCACTCAAAGTTCCACTGGCTCGATCCCTGCAGATTAGTGAAGAACTACTGAGCAGAAACCAATTGTCCACAGCTGCCAGCCTTGGACCATCTGGATTACAGAATCATGGACAGCACTTAATATTATCCAGGGAAGCCTCTTGGGCAAAACCACATTATGAGTTCAACCTCAGCCGTATGAAGTTCAGGGGAAATGGTGCACTCAACAACATCAGTGACCTTCCTTTTCTTGCAGAAAACTCTGCCTTTCCAAAAATGGCACTTCAAGCAAAACAAGATGGGAAAAAGGATGTGAGCCATTCATCTCCTGTAGATTTAAAGATACCACAAGTTCGAGGAATGGATCTTTCTTGGGAAAATCGCACTGGTGATCAGTACAGCTATAGCTCTTTGGTAATGGGTTCACAAACGGAGAGCGCGCTTAGTAAAAAATTAAGGGCTATTCTTCCAAAACAAAATAGAAAAAGCATGTTAGATGCTGGACCCGATTCTTGGGGCTCAGATGCTGAGCAGTCTACCTCTGGACAGCCATATCCCACATCGGATCAAGAAGGAGATCCTGGCTCCAAGCAGCCTCGGAAGAAAAGAGGGCGTTACAGACAGTACAACAGTGAGATACTGGAGGAAGCAATCTCAGTGGTTATGAGTGGAAAAATGAGTGTTTCCAAAGCTCAGAGTATTTATGGGATTCCCCACAGTACACTGGAGTACAAAGTAAAGGAGAGGCTGGGCACTTTGAAAAACCCTCCAAAGAAAAAGATGAAGTTAATGAGGTCGGAGGGGCCAGATGTTTCTGTAAAGATTGAATTAGATCCCCAGGGAGAGGCAGCACAAAGTGCAAATGAATCAAAAAATGAGTAGGAATACTGTAGAGTGCCAATTACTGTACAAACTGGGTGAGCACTACTGCATTGTTCAGCTGTCATTGCTTGCACCTAACTTCATTTACTGTGACACTTGTTTCTTTGCAGATTTTGCATTGACTTGTGTGTACAGGGGTGAAAGGTGCATTCTGAATGTTGCATATTTTAAAATTTTCGTGTGCAGTATGGCTCGGGATATCGTTTGGCCTTTTGCATGTTTCTCTACAAAAGAGAATTGAGTTACCTCACAGAGAACAGATACATGGAAGTGGACTCCTTGCCTGTAGAGCCTGCATGCTTTTCTTTTTTTTTTCTTAAGTTATATTTGCCTTTATTTAAAAGAAAAGAAAAAAGCCCCCTTTTAGAGACCACCTCTGTCATATTGGGAGCTTTATCATTGCAAATTGGAAAGCCATCTTATAAAATTATTCACATTTTTTCTTCTGAGATTCAACTAATTTAAGGGTTAAACTAAAGAAACTAAGAACAATGAACTTTTGAATTTAAGAAATTTGGCTATTCAATGATAAATAATTATTTGGGTCAATTAACATTTTATGATTTCCTTCTCACTATTAAGTTTACTTAACAAATTAGCAATCTATTTAGTGCTCACCCAGAGGGGGGAAGGAGGTGGAAAATGTGCACACACTACCTTCAAAAATGCTTCAATTACGTTGTAACACTACCTTTGCTGTTATTTCATTTGGGATTTTCTAAGGGTAGAGTTTGGTCTCACCAACAAGTGAGGATATAGCCTTATCTCATGGAGGACGAGCTCCGTTCTTACTCAGGAGCAGTCAGGGTACATTACATAAAACAATAGAGGATGCCTCATTTTAGCAAATTAAGTTTCTTTGTATTCTTAAATCCTTTTACAGATTTGATCATGTGCTAACTAACAACTAAATGTCAGTTGCAGCAACTATTTTAAAATATTTAAGATCTGTTTATTGGGGGATGGGAGAAATAGGGGGGAAATGTGTGTGAGTAATTATAATATTGCAAAAGTGGTATCTAGATTTTACAGCCTCAGTAATCTGCTCAAATATCCACATAAGTGAAGAATCCATGTTTGTGGTGAGAGAAAGAACACAACCCCAAGGTAACCTAAAATGATTTAGGTTGCATTTCAGTTCTAACAATAATTCAATCAGAAGTCAAGCTGCTTAGCAATTCTTTTTTAACTAATTCATAGATACTAGTACAAGGGGGCAGGGGTTTTTTTTAGTTTTATTTGTTGCTTTGAACTCTTTTTTTCTTTCTTTTGGCATCCTACATACTATCCCCTTCTTAACTTTTTCTGATATTTAGCTGATTTTTATGGTTGTTTAGCACACAGTTCAGGACCTTTCAGATTGTGTTTTGTATAAGCACTCCTTAAAGAACACCTAAGGTTTTTTTGAGATGGGCTTTTAAAATTACAGTGATACGGTTTGGAACATTTATTTTCTACAACTTT